TTCAGGAACAATATTTGGTTATGTTTCTGAAAATGATTTTATGAAACACGTACAAAACAGCAAGAAAGGTTTTTGTTCTAGGAATACCACAATTACTGTTCGATAAACACATACAAAAAAACAGACTGTGCTAGTTAACCACAAAAGAAATCTCGCATTATTTCACAGGATATGTTCACACACTGAGGGCACCGTAGCGGCAGTTGTGCACTATGAGGACTATTGGCTTCGAGATGATTTTTAACAAGATCAGCCATAGCCTAAGGGAAAAGAAAAATTGTTTAATACGACAAAAGTTTCACTATGGGTAATCAAACCTGGATAAATAATGGATTATCATTTAGTGAAGCACAACGGCGAATATTTTCAACACCAACCTATTCGTTAAGAGAAGAACATAGAAAAATATCGAAAAAATCTACATTAATACATACACTTGTAGCTAAATGTTGACAATATTCAAGATCGAGTTCATGTAATGTTTCGATATGATCGCCTTAAAAGTCATGAGTGTATTATTAGAGAGGTATTGACTTTTAATAGTGCCATACTTGTGAATGCAATCGGTACTAGAAGTATATGACGGCGATTGTTTCGTGCCAAACCTGTAATTGCGTCATCAGTTTGGCAGCCTAGCCAAGCACTCGGTCCGACCTGTGGATGAACTTAATAGGCTATTAATTCATACGTCACATATGTTAGACATTTGAGATTTTACGTACTTTTGATTGCCATACAAGCCGATATGAATTCGAGAAATTTAATTCTTGCATTACTGCTTGTACGGTAGCCGCCACTTCCGCTGGGTATGGATCGCCCCGATTAACAACCTAAAAAAATGAGAAATTGATTGATTTGATAAACTTGGGTTCATCTTCCATACCTTCATGGGTAGAGAATGTGCAGAAAACAATATAACAACCTCATCTCGTATATTTGCCGGAAATTTTTTCAATTCATCACGGATATTACCAACAAAAGCCTAAGAAAAGAAAAGTGCCAATATCTTGTTGCTAGTCGTATTAATAAAGACATGTACGTTAATGAAACCAGAATGTGTTTGCCATCGATCAATGACACTCCATTTCACATTACTTTGTCGGTCGATCAGTCTACTTTGTGATTCTTGAGCTGATGATTGATTTTCTTTTTTCTTTTGCGCTATATAATATCTGGCTATGGCATTCAGACTACTTCCAGTTGTTGAACAACTGTATTGTGGATATTGAGTAAAAGCAACCATGTGTTCTGGACGATCGCTGCAAACAATATGCAAAATAAATTAAAACTGAATTGCAACATATACAGAAATAAAGTTACCGTTCAATTTCATCCAACGCTGTTTCAGTTAATGGTTTAGTATAACGGAAACCAATGTAGTACTTGTGAGGTGCTATGAATTAATGCAATGTGATGGCGACAAAAGAATTACACGCATTAAACACAAGACTGACCTGTCATTGGAGAGATTTTGTCTAATATATTAATCATTCCTTTTGCTTGTTTTTCTGTCCACATACGTACTTAAAAAAAAGAAAAAAATCCATATTTGCATTAGTTTCAAATAGGAGAATTACATACTTGGCGAGCCGCCTCCAATTTTTGCATATTGTTCTTGAATACGAGGTGTACGACGTTTAGCAATCAATGGACCTAATTGTCTAAATAAAACCATAAAATGCATTGAAACGTATGAAAAGTATTTAGAACAAGTCTAAAAGCGCTCACTTTACTTTTGTGCTGGCAATGGTATTAAATCTTTATCGGAAAATAATCGTAATAAAAAGTCATAAACATCGTCAACTGTTTCTGGACCACCCATATTCAATAGTAGAACACCTGTTTTGACACGTCTAAACAAACAACAGAATCAAAACAATTCACTTATCTTTCCATTACGGTACTTACTGCGGTTCATCTTTTACCGCTGTAGTTGTCATTGCTATATTACGACTCATGAAAGAGTACGGCTTTAAGAAATGTAAGATATCTAAAAATATAATTCATCTAACTTTCTATTCAAAAGAAACAATTAAAATGATCATTTACCTGATGAGAAACGAACTTTAAAGTGAGAAAGCATTGTGAAGGTATAAACGTATCTAAAAATAAATTCAAACACGCTAGATAAGAATTTAGATACTCAACTAGTTAAGTAAAACAGAGTACACTTAATTCATCTATCTTCTTTGATCTTGCTATACTATGTAGACATCTTATACGTAGTACATAAAAGACTCAAAATGGATAGATAACTGTATCATTAATTTGTAAATGCCAGTTAATATCATCCTCATGTTCTAAACCGATAGTATTTTAATTTAAACCGGAAATATAAAATGTTAAATTTTAATTTTCTAAAAAAATATCTGACTACTGTGTAACAATAAAATCAAATAAAAAACAGATCCAAAAAAATCTTCTTCATTTCTAAAGTTTAATATTACTATAGCAATATTAAATATATCTGAAAAAACCATCTGACATGCTTTATTTATCGATTACTATACTTTTTTATTTTGTTGTTTGCTTGATTGTATAAAACCTGAAAGTATAAAACAGTTAAGTTTAGTCCGACCTTGACTAAAATTTCAGGGAATTTAATCATGTCTTTGAATAGTTATAGTAAAGATTTGGAGATTCCATCTATCAGCATTCGGCAGACGCCACTAAAATACTGATCGAAACGGGGCATTTATCGTTTACAAGATTTTTCCGCCATATTAAGTGATGGAGAGTTTGAGTTGGTTTTAAAATGTCAGAAATAGAAATAGTGTATAAGAACCGAATTTTTGATATTTTTCGTTGAAAACTTATATGAACAATTTTCCTCAAAAATCCAAAATCATGCGAAAATCTTTTCTTGTATGTTGTTACCATGATTGTGAGTTTTAATTTAAGATCAATTCAGGCCTTTCAGTATAAACTTTGATGGAGAAATCTTGTAATCGGTATTCGCTGCCGAGTGAAAAACTAAATACTTTTGTTTTATTCACAAACAGTGCGTTTTCTTGCAAATATTGTAAGATCAAACGGTTATTGATATATTCGTATAGATTTTCAACCCCGGTGATTCCGCTGTGCATGTGTCCGCATATGCACCACATATGCCTGTGCCTATTTTGCCCATTTTTTTCAAAATATGTCTACTTTTTATCACATAAGAGATTATCTACAGGTCCTCCATTACATCGAATTACTGAGGACAAAAAGATTAGTGCGTTCGAAAGAGAAGACTTTGGACTATTCAATTATGTATATTTCTCAAAATCATCATTTTTGACAGGGGATCAATGTAAATATTCTGAATGAGAAAATACTTAACAATTAGCTTCGTTGCCTACAGTAGTGATAAAAAAAACTAGACATACCTTTTCAAAATCGTGCAAAAAATATTTATCAAATATTTTTCCATTTCGTCAAATCAATTACTGTTTCTTTGTTAATTGTACCATCGACTTGTCCCCGTAAAACTTTAATTTTAATTTTATTATCGTCTATCGGCTGAAATGATACTTTTACATTCGCTTTTATCCAATTAAATTTATCATCATCTTGTTCATCATTCTGATTATTTTTAGATGTGAATAATCCTGTTAACATCAACATTGAATTATCTTGTGCAATTGTATTAAATAAAGTCGTTAAATAAGTAGCATATGTCTGAATTTCAATAGTTAAACCAATATGTTGTGAAAATAATGAATACAAATCATTAATAATCAATATATTAAGATTATTATCTTGATGATCATCAACAGAATTATTCTGATAACTACTCTGAACTTCTGCTAATAATGATTCCAGTGTGAAACATTCAGAATAGAACATTTGATTTTGAAAAAAATCATTTCTATTTGGAATATACTGTTTACATTTTTCATAAAACATTTTTAAATTGAATAATAAATTATTTGTATTAATAAATTTAAATTTTTTCATTTTTAAAAAATTATTTTTCAAACATAAACGTATAAGAAATGTATGAAAAAAATCATTACATATTTCAGGTTTTAAGTTTTCAAACAGAAACATTACATGAGAATCATCTTTATCAGAGAATAATTGATACTGATCAATTTGTTCAAAATCAACAGAATAAGACGATTGTGGTAGAAATGATATTTGACACGTTCCATTTAAACATGCCGTTTGAGCAATTATACATGAATAAATGCATTTCATTTGTGAATGTGATAAACAAGGATTCGTTATTTCTTCGTCAAAATCATCATATTTAAGAAGATAGTCGTTTGTTGTTGTTATTTGATAGGTTGTGAATAAATAATCGAGAATATGTTTTGGTAAACATGGACAGGAGATTGTTTTTAGTAAAATAGACATAGAATAAAAAACAACAACTGAAATAAAAGAATACTTTTCTGTAAAAGTTCAGCTGAGAGAATGTGACAATGAAAGATCTTTGGCTATTCGAAAATAATAATTAATCTTGTGATTATACACATTAAAAAGTAATAAAATACTTGCAAAAATTGTTTCTTCAATACTGTTTATGAGAAAAGAAAATATAATCGTTTACTTAATTCAAAAGCAAGTACAGTGTGACATAATATTCGTCTTTCTAAAAGAAACGATACAATTCGAACAATTGTATGCTTAAAAATAACCTTTTCTCTAATTTATTCAAAATTTTGAACAAATAACAACAATACCGGAATAAAAAGAAAAAAGGTAACAGCTGGATTTGTCCCTGATTGCTTTGTAAAACTTGAAATTAATCAAAACAAGCCCAGTAGTCGATCATTATGTCTTTTCTATTAAAAAAAAAAACAACGAAAACGAAAAACAATGTAAAAAATGGCAAAAAAAACAACAACACACACACATATAACATTGAATACAGATACAAAAAGGGATACAATTAAAGATTTAGACGCTGCTATCTGTTATCACTTACGAAAACGCTTGAACACAAAAAATTTCACCTAGATGAGAGAGAAAAACTTCTTTTATCTTTTGTTCTATGTGTAATCTATTCAGCCTTTTTCTTTGGTATATCATCTCTATGATAAAGTACAACAAAACTAAGTAAAAACGCACCGGCCATCATTGAAAATGTTGAAATATAATATGGATATGCTGATGCTATAAAACGTTCGTATTCAGTATGACGTAAAGGATGTACAGAAACCTTAAAATAAGTAGAAAAAAAGCTGATGTATCCATTTACCACTGAAAACGATGACAATACCTGTGTTTCAGAATACAAATGTGTGTAACCCACACGATTATAATCAATAACAAATTTATAAATACCATAAATATCCGGAATGATAAAATGTGATTCTAATTTACCACCTAAATAAACAGCAGTAATAATAATGGTATAAGCTGAATTAGAGAAAGATGAAAAATAAAATAAATCTCTACCAGTATTTTTCATTGTAACACGAACGAAGGGATCAATTCGAATAAACTCCAGTTGAACATCAGTACCATTAAAGGGAATCCATTTTCCATGTACAAATTCATCAAACAGAATGCTAAATATCTGAAAAAAAAGAACTCATTTTACTAAGAATACAGAACATTTTCTTCTGTTAGAACAGACTTACAATGTCTTCTTTGATTGTATAAAATCGCGGTGTTGATTTATCTTTAAGAAGATGATGATGAATATTTCTTGAACGTAATACGCCACGTTGTTTAAATACCCAATCAGTTAATGCTAATGCTAATTCTTCGTTACCAGATCGAGGATGTCTGTGTTTAAAAATTATATTATCAAGTTTTCTATTTTTATTTTAAACACAATGTAAGAAAAAAAAACGCTTACTTTTTAGAATTACCGATTTGGACTGATGCTTCAAAAAAATCGTTGCTGAAAAATTCTAATGAGCCAACAAAGCCAACACGTGCGTTATTTCGTGCTTGAAGTACAGATACAAGTAATGTTCGTTTACCAACAGTAGACGGATACTACAAATAAACAGCAGAAAATATATAAACAAATTGCTTACATCTCACAGAGGAGATTATTAGTTGAACAAACAGTTCAGGAGAAATCTTTATAATCCCTTCTCTAATGCTTCACTTTCCAGAGTTTTCGTTTATTTACTATCGTGCTGAGATGTAATTATTCTGTGGATACCGTGCTATCAAGAGTAGATTATATTTTAATTTTAACTATTGATAAAAACTTGATTTTTAGTTAATAGAACCGCAGAAAGTTGATTATAACAAGCAATTTACGTCTGTTAACGTTTGTTGATCGGGATTGGCTGTATAAGCAGACGACGATGCGGTCAAAACATCTATCAATAATGGATTTTCTTGATCAACTGACATTCTAAATAGATAGAGGTTTGATATGTTGTTTTGATAACATAAAGTAAACTGAACTTACCCAATGCCTCGAAATAAGAATGGTGCACCGACTTGTTTAGCTTTACCAACAATGAGTTCTGAATTAATAAGGTTATCTGTATTTGCAACGACAAGTGTATGCTGAAAAACACGAGAACGTTACAAAGAACTTAGAGAGAATGTTTGATCTCGTAGCTAAAATTTCTCTCTACGTTCTCCTGAGTAAGACTTTTTCTTTGTTAAATACCTGACCATTGTCGTTGGAATCAAAATTAAGATGATCAATGACGGCACTCTTATCGTCAGCAAACTCAATTCCACATTCTCCAGCAAACTCTCGTATTGCATCACCTTTGCAAAAAAAGCATAAAACAAAAGTTGGAATTTGTATAAAATTATTTTTATCAATCGCTTACCAATGACATTGCTACCGGTTACGAGTACATTACCACCAGCATCAACAAACTGCGCCAATGTTTCCGCATCTAATCGACCTCCAAACTCTAAACATAAAAAAGATATTTAAATACGTAATACTAAAAAATAATCTTTCACCGTCTCACCTTTAGTTCCTGGTGCAAAAATAATGATATTATCATAAAGATATTCACCGTATTTAACAATTTGAAGTGTACTATCATCAGATGATTTATACGTTATGTCAAAACCGCGATCTAAATCGAAAAGATTTTTAAGATAGTGAACAACGTGAACTTTTTCCAGATATACAATCATCAGTGTCACTTCTAAAAATCACTTTATCAATCAGAATGTGAACAGCTTAGAATAGATCTTCATCATCTGATTGTGTATCCAAGCAAAAAATAATAATCGTAGGATGTTTATACCTTTCAATAATTTAAAATAAAATGAATGTGATTCACGGATAGCCAAATTATCGAGTAAAACTAAAACTCGTTTGGATGAACCTTCAATGTTCAGTGATGAAGTAACAGTTAGCGCTGTCACAGCAAGTAAAATCGAAAAGACAACAGTTGCGATGTTCATAGTTTGTTATCACTTTTTGCTTATCTGAAAAAGTTATACGATATCAATAAACAAAAAAGAAGCACATCTCGAAAGTTTAGCAGCTTTGTATTTCCTGCAGATCATCTGTTTTTGATCATTCAAAGAAAGAATAGAAATAATGCTTATGCATGATCTTTTTGGTAGGTAGTAGCACAGTGGACAAGGACATAACTTCAGTCCGATTCACTGTATACATCTAGAATGATATAAGTGAATTAAGTAAAGCGTCTGAAGTTTCTGTAGTATTCTTGACACAATTGTGCCATTTTGATTGGACGAAAACGATATCATACATGTAGATAGATGAGATTTTCAGCTATCAAAAGTCACGGTTCTATTGAAAACTACAGTATTTCAACGTAGTTTGTTAAATATTAGTCTAATTTGAATCTTTTTTTGTACGAATTTCTATATAAAATTCGGAAAAATCTGATAATTCGAACTTTTCTCTTTCAGTCTGGCGTTTTTAGAATTTAATTAGTTAGATTCTTTATTTCTGTTATTTGAAATGTTAAGAATAAACTCCAAGATGTTATCACGCTTATTTGTCAAACGTCAAAATAACGGAACTAAGTACAAGATACTCCAAAAACTTCAAACCCTATCCTTAATTAAACCATGTTGTGCTCTCTTTAATTTTTAAAAAATCCCTAAAGTCAGTTCTTCTTCATCTCATACGCTAAATAATAAAACAAAAAGCCACCGAGTTTTTCTTCTCAGAGGAAGCAAAACACATAACACGTCGTGGGCCATCGTACACTCAACAGCGATAAACCAATCAGTTGTTGAGAAAAACCTTCTTCAGAAAAATGGCACAATGTCTCAATAAAATTTTGTCGCTTCAATCGAAAGAAAATCTATATACTGATGAAAGGAAAAAAAACACATTTTTTGAACACAGAGAACAACAGTCAACGAGGTACTGGTTTATGGTTCTAATATAGTTGGTACCGCCATCTACTAAGAGTAATATCCTGTAGCGAATATATACAACGCCCTCAATTTCTTTTGATTGTGCAGTAATAATTTCCAAAAATGAAATGACCATTTTCGATGGAAATATTTCAGTGGTATGTACAATAAAGTTTAGACCGAGTATCAATATTGGATACTTCCGCACAGATCCGCCCAGTATTACATGTGCTAAAAGTCGGAAAGGCATGACTATATGTAATGGATAGTCTTACTAAAGGTACGGAAAGACCCCTGTCACCCCATAGAAAAACCATGTTCGGAATAATTTTTCCATGGGGTGATAGGGGTCTTTACGTACTTTTAGTAAGACTATCCATTACATATAGTCATGCCTTTCCGACTTTTAGCACATGTAATACTAGGCGGATCTGTGCGGAAGTATCCTGTTGGAAAAACAGAGTTCACTAATAGGCTGCCTTTCGGAACTTGGCAAATGGTTCTAATTCATTTGAACTAATTTCTTATTAAAAAAAAGCTGGAAAATCATTTTACATTATTTTGGTAGGAAGAAATAAAATAAAATAAATTTGAAATAAATTAATTGAGATCCATTTTGATAGTTATAAATAAGTTAAATCAATTTCTACGCTAAAATCGCCCGATACTCTCAAAGTAGTTCAAACTAATTTCAACTCATCAACTCTTTTTATCTTTGAATCACTATTTTGACAAATTCAGTAATACACTATAATCTTGAAAATTATTTATAGAAAATCACCGTTGATTTTCAGAAAGTCCATATATGAAATCGCCGAAGATTTTCTATTTTATAGAAAATCGAATTTCAAAGAATCTAGAATATTTTGTAAAGTTGCTGGGATTTTCTGAGGATTTTCGTGCGGTATGATCGGTGAGGATTTTCTATAAGTTTGAAAATTCATCCTTAGGGCTTTTATAATCGATTTTCTATAAAGTTCTATCGTGTGTACCTCCAGTCGATTTTTGACAAAAAATTTTTTCTAAAAGATTCGTTCTTAGAAAAAAGGTATTTTGATCTATTGGAAACATAGTAAAGCGGGAAAAAGCTTTATCGTTGAAAAAGTCATGTACGGACGGCTACCAGACCGAAAATTTCCCCGGTGTGCTTCTGCTATCTAAAAACGACAGTATTCTTGGAAATTTAAAAAGAGTCTTCGAAGATGTTTCTATATGATACTCATTCGGGTTTTTCGAGACTTCGAATACGTTTTTTCCATTTCGTTCAATTTCTTGAATACCCTTCAAACGGTTTTCGGTATTCTAGCCTGTTCTGTCTATTCCAGAATATTGTTTTACGTTTTATTCATAGCTCGTCTGAAAATTTTTCATAAAATTTGGTTGCCTTGCATAACTGTATAAAAACATTATCCAGGGTCAGTCATTAAAGACAAATGAAAATTTCAGGTTGTTTTTAGATTAAAACTATTTATAACGTATAATAATAATTTTTAAGAAGAAAAATAAGTATCAGATTAGAATGAAACACATTAAGAAACAAAACACAATAAAAAGAAAAAAATACATAAGATTATTGAATTATAACAGCCTTTGTTCATACATAGTTCACCGTTGATCTTGTGGATCATTGTGGAATGGCGAACGATCATGATAAGAAACTTGACGAAGTATTTTTGATGTTTTTTGTAAATCAATCTCACCACTGGCAACAAGTGTGTGAGCTTCTTTATTATTTTCATCCTTGTTACATTCGCAGAAGTCTGACAATGACGATGGTTTTATGCTGCATAACGAATCATGCGAAGAAGAGAATGTTTTTGTTTCTACAGAATGTTTGAGGTCACAATTATTTGTGGATTCATTCGTTGTTAAAGATGGTTGATTATTATTCACTGTTGTTGTTAAAAGTTCACGCTCTTTTGTATTACGCCATTTCATACGACGATTTTGAAACCAAATTTTAACCTTGAAAATAAGAAACGAAAAAAATATGTAATCTCGTTAATCATCAATTATCTTATCTTTATTCCATATATAGCTTTGGATTAGCTGATTTACAGCTCATTCGAAAATCAACAAATGAGAACACATAAATTTACTCTTTTCTAAGGAAGTGGCATTTCTAAGCTGCATAGGTAATGAAGCACTTTATTACGAGGTAACATACATAACTTCATCGTATTTTTCTCGTTTATCAATGGCAACGAATCCCGATAAGTTCCAATACGAGACCAACGTACTCAGACAAAAAGTATAATTACATACCTCGTATACCCCTAACACAAAATCTAAAGCTAAGAAACTTGTTGGGTTCTCTATTTTACTAGTTCTACTTTTGGACTAATTGATTTCGTGCGTCAGTTTAATTTTCTGAATTCGTTATACTCTTATCAGTTACGAATATTTTAATAAGAGTCCAGATATTCAGATTCTTCCCAAGCTATAACGGCATTCTTAAAACAAGAGATACTAACTTGTGAATCTTTTAGTGCTAAACGTTGTGCTAATTTTTTTCGTTCCGGTTTACTAATATATTTTTGTTTTGAAAATGCCACTTCTAAACCTTTTCGTTGTTGATCAGAGAATACTGCTCGTCGAAGCATGCCTCGTCGGGGTTTTGTTCTCAAACCCAATGGCCAAAATATCGAATTCATAGATGAATACAAATTGGCGGCTGGATGATGTGAAAAATAGCTATGTTGATTACCTTAAAAATACAGAATCATATATGAAGTAATAAACGCAAGCAACAAGGTTCAAATATGATTATAAGTGCTTATAATTACATAAAAGGGTCAAGAATTTTCTCCTAAATGCGACGTGACAAGCAGCAAAAATTCTTTTTTTTGTACAGGTTTCTGGAGCACTTACAAAACCATTTTTAGTACTACTAGGACTTTCTCCCCCTTTCCATGCGACTATTAGCTTACTAATAATTATTTGCAATATTGATTATTATCCATCATAGCCTAACGGACGGTGAAAATCCATCTGTTGTTTATAGTGTGAGAGATAAACGTATTGTTTTTAATAGAATTTGATTCAAACTTAATCAGTTTTTAAAGTAATGTACAAAATCATAATTATAGTAAATCAGTAGAATCAACATCATCATCAATAATTTGTTGTTGCTTTATTCTAATTGACCGTTTGTTCATAACGGATAGACATATACAATGTGCATTGCGGTTTTATGTTTTCAAAACTTTTTGATTTCAAGTATGATCGACACTATTTATAGTTAAACAAGTAAAGAAAAAGAACAATGACTAAGTAGCAATTCATCAATTCAAAGTCTATTAGGTTGAGTATTGTTATTCCTTGAGGACCATGATTGATAGAACAATATCAAACGAGATTTGCACATGAAATATTTTTTTAGCTGAATCACAGAGTGATAGTATGTCAGATAAGTCTATACTATTTTTTATTACTGACAATAAGTCTCAGTTATAAAAATGATTATGTGAAACTTAGACGCCAGTAGACAAAAACAAAACAAAATGAGTACCGTATGGTCTGAACAAACGACTATTGGTAGAGAAGATTTCAGAACACTGTGGAGTAAATCGAACTGTACCGTGCTCCTTCTATCTGAGCTTCTGTATCGATCGACGAGTGACAGAAATTAGATCTTTTTCATAACATAACTGAATTTCTTATTTTCTGACGCAGAATAGCGAATAGATGGAGTATTTGAAAGGAATAAACATCATCTTCAAGTGATAGATCAAACAGTTTCTGAAGTGATTTTCTTTCTAATCAGTTTTATAAACTTGAGCAGTTAAGCTAATTGTCATTCTCTTTTGCAATAAAACCGAGTGAGTCATATCCTGCAGAAGATTTATTTTGACATTATCTAATGTAACAGATACGAAATGTATATTTAGCGAAATATTTTGAAGTGAGATCTTGTTTCAACTTAATGTCATCTTACTTCTAGTAGAATGAGAAATCACGTCACTGTACAGCCGGAATAAAAATTTCATACAAAATTTAACATTTTTATTCTTATATTTTCAGTGAAAGAATGTTAACCTTTTCTGTGCCCCAGACTGCAGAACATCGCATTTGATTACGAAAAGTTTGCTCTACAATTTAACTTACAATCGTTTTTCGGTCGAAAAACTAAAAAAGCAAATACGAAAAAAAATTTAACTCCAATCGTTTTTCGGTCGAAAAACTAAAAAAGCAAAAACCAAAAGACGAACAAAATGTTAAAGTTTCGTTACGGAATATTATCGCGATAGTGGAGTCAAATCTGTCGCACCGAAAAATTTTCGGCTGATTGAGAAAAGAAGAATTACATTGGGACCATTTCAAGTAACTCGGCCGAAAACGTGTTTCAGCAACATTTTGTGCTATGTTCTCGTCTTTATACCTTTTGACACTTTTCATCGCAGAATGAGACAATCGCGAGCTTCGAGTGTCTTTTTATTCGGAAGATATAAAGACGAGAACATAGCACAAAACGTTACTGAATATGTTTTCAGCCGAGTTACTTGAAATGGTCCCAATACAAGATTGACAATTATTTATCAAGTGTACCATTTCCAGTGACAGATATATGGTTCAAAAGTAAAAAGTGTTTCGGAAAACAGATATTGCTATTAAAGTACAATAGTATGGAATAGACATTCATATATTACATATATATGATAGAGAAATTAATTTATGGATTCTCTTAATTAATTTTAGCAATTTTGAGTAACCATCTTAATGATTTCGAGCTGGTAATATAGTACATGTTAATATATTAGAAATCCAGGTGTTGCATTATTATTCACTTAAATTATATTTGCTTGATGTTTATCAAAGGATGTCGTTTACTACTTGAAATTCTCATATTGTATACATGTAATCTGATAGGTCAATATATTATAATAGATTGATTGGTAGTAGTATAGAGAAATAGAATGTTTGTGAACTATAGATGTATCCTCAATTGTCTTCCTAATATTTCAGATGGATCATGTCATGAAATTGAAATTGAGAACCTGTTTTCTTCTTATATGTGTTTAAAAAAAGAACATGTTCTTGATGAATTCGATTAAAGACTCTTATCGACTTACTATAAAAAGAAAGAGAAGAAATTTTTGACTTTATGAAAGTAAGTAAGCACATCTAATATAGATGATGATTATTATTATTAGATGGGGTAGTTTACACAAGAATTAAATTACCTATATATGTTTGGAAAGGTGTTCAAGAATATATATGAAGGCAGCACGCTTGTAATTACATTAACACCCGCACAAAAGAGAGAAGAAAAAAAGTTAATAAAAAACAAATGATGATCGGAAAATATTTGTAAATGAGAACAAATTAAATTGAATAGGTGGGAAAAAGCAGTCTTGTTTCAGAATGATGTTGTATGCACTTTTCTATCAATATACAAAAAACAATTAATCTGTTTTTTTCCTTCTAAATGAAAAAGTTTTCATAACTAGAATTCTATACAACAAAGAAACTTCGAACTTTTTCCCTAACACTATAAAAGTTAAACTCTTGCAAAAATTACTTTCATTGTCATTGGTGAATAATTTTTACAATCACTCAAATCTCACCTCGTTTACAACGAATAAGAATTAATAGAAACTAGCAGTAAGATGATTAGTATTTAAATTGTGAATTTATAGTTTGAAGAAACAATTATTGAATGACTTACCGATAAATGAACGTAGCGGTGGTTTCCAACTGTTATGTTGTGTCGAAGTATCGAAGGATGATGGTGGTGATGGTCGACCCAATTGGGAGAGAAAACGATCGTGTAAAAGATCATTTGCACCTGTATTGTACGTGTTTATATGATGACCATTTGGCAATGATGGTATACTGTATGGATATTGAGATAAATTATGGGAGGATGGATTCTGATGTGGATAAGATGATAATTGAGACAACGATACATTTGTTGAAGGAGTAAGAGAATGTGGGATTAATTCATTGTTCTCATGAAATACTTCTTTTGGGGAAGACAGTGTTCGTTCACCAGATGATATAGATGTTGATGATAAAGGTGATTCAGTTCTTACTCTTACTGAAATAGTAAAAATATCATTGTTAAAGATTAATAGAATATTTTTAGTTTTTAAAATATATACCAGATGAAGTATGACAGACAAGTAGCATTGTTCATCGATCGGTTTCAACGATAAACACAGTAGATGTAAACTAACGTTATTAAGACTTATACTACACGCTTTTTAACTGATTAGTAAAGACGACAAATTAGCGAGTGAAGATAAGCTTACTTTTTCGTCTGAGTTCTCTCTCTTGTTCGTCCTCATCACTGTCTGATGAATCGTCGATTCCAGTATCGGATTGTCTATTATTTCCAAGTATTGCATCAACTCCAAATTTCAATTTTTTCCGTGGTGGTGATTGAACTATTGAGTAATGATTTGATTTTTCTAAATAATAACTATTATCATTTGATTTCTCATCATTATTATTATCATGATTATGACTCAATGATATTTTTGATGATAAACTGTCCGACATTATTTTCGATAAATGTCGATAGTATGAATCTGTATGTTGTTGCGTATAAGTTGTTTGATGAGATTTTGTTGTCAAATATCGATAATCTTTTAATTCAATCTTTTCATTATCATCGACTTCTGTTTTAATTGATGAAGAATTTGCCGATAACAGAGGTAATAAATATGGATTTCTGCTAAATGTTGTTGTTCTCAAATCAATCATAATAATAACGTTTTTTTATTTGCAATTGAATGATCGATTATGAGACGCAGATCACTTTTTATTTTATTTCATAAAAAAAAATTACATTTATGAAATAAATGTCCAATCATTGTGTCAATAACGAACGATAGAGAAAGAGAGAGAAAATGAAGAAATAAAAATCGTCTTGTCAACCATTATTTTCTCGGAGAGAATGAGAAAAAACTTCATTTGTCCAACATATAGATTCATAAAAAAAAATAGACGTGGAATTTATCATAAATAACGTCTTGTATTTTTTTCAAATTGAAATAAGTACTTGAATGAATTTAACATGTATGTGTACATAAACGTAAGTGCACGTATGTAAAGAGCACAATTGGAAGAAAAATTGAGTGAGAGTAAGACGCTGGCTTTTACATAAACATGCGCACTTTCATATAGTGAAATCCATACTGCATGAGCTTGTTACAAAAAAAGAATAATTTATTACACAATCACGATAATAATGGAGAAAAAAAGCACATTCACTTTTTAGAATTTTGATTAACTCTCATAAAAAAATTTGATTGACTCAAAGTGGTTAAATATAACATAGGTTATACTCTCGCTTTTTTTCTCTCTCTCTCATATATAGAAAATCTATATACCTGTACAACTCATAAAACTATGTAAGAATAAAGTATAAACCTCTTAGGAGTGTCTCATCTGCAAAGCTAAATTCTTATTGAATAGAAGAGGTATGCATAGATATGCAAAGTCTTTCTATACTCGACCTGAAAAACAATCTTGACATCTGAAATTACGTGTCAGTTAAAATTACTTAACTTACACCGTCTTCTATACTCTCACTTACAATACACAAATAGCAAAAAACAATATTTTAATTGAAACTTCTTGAAAATACAAGAGAATGCATTAATTCAAGACTCAGTGACTGTTGATGTGCATCTAAAACATCGTAAATTTAAAAAAAATGAAAACCCAGTCGTATCCACACCAGGGTGGACACACACAACTGTACTGTACGGATTCGTCACATTGAATAATCACAGCATAAAAAACTATGTACGATTGATCAATATCTTCGTTTTCTGAGGAGACTCTGACGTTTAAAGTGACAGTACATCCAGCAATTCTCTAGTGAGTGCGTAGAACTTATTATTGAATATTGATATGAATATTCAAGAGCCAAAATAATTCGGAGAGTTCATTGGCTCTCTATTTTCTCTTCTATGAACGATAACGTGGCCCTGCCTCTATGCTGATTACGCATTTGATATCCATACTTCCATCCATACACTTTTTTCGTATTATATTGTAAAACTAGTGTCTGTAATAACTTACAATCGACTCATCATTGAGTTACGAGAATTCCAATGCATAAAACGTGCAGAACAGAAAGATTTTAGCAGAATTAAACTGTCAACATTTTTTAGCTTAACGAACATGTGTTCATAGTTTAAGTTCGTATGCTCGATTCTAGATTTGGATTGATTTTGTATTTTGATAGTTTAAGTTTTAGAATGATATAGTGAGAATTTATATTCTCACTTTCGTTCTGGCTCAAGATTAATGCTTAAACCAAATGTGTTCGTTAGCTGTAATAATTTGTACACATACATATGTAACTTAATATGCCGAAAAAGTGGCACTGTCACAAGATGTAATTTCATAAATTCATAATGAACTACTTACTACAGATTCTGGTTTTACAGTATAATACGAAAAAGGCGTATGGGTCAAAGCGTGAATATCAAACGTTAGTCGGCATCAGAAGTTGCTACTTTAAAAAGCTTTGTTTCATTAAGAAAACGAGCGGACACTCGAAAACGTTCTCTCGTCAATAGTATTTTAGTAGACTAGATATTTTTCCGTACTAAAAATGATTAGTGAAAAATCTGAGTAATAAAAATATCAGTGGAAAATTACATGGTGATAGATTCGAAATTCACACCGTATAGTTTCTCTTTTAATTAAGTCGTTTATAGTCAATGATTTTTTGTGTCTGTCTATATGTATTATAATTCAAATCCATAGAGTCAATAAAACCGAAAAAAACAGTATTTTTATTTTTGCATAATACCGCTTATACCTATATGAATATTCGTTGTTATTTTATGGTGATAGTTTCGATAAGAGCTTTCTTTCTTTTGTTGCTCCCTTTAGATGAAAAAGAAGTAAGAACAATACTGTGAGCTACTTTAATTCAATTAAAATGTGTATATAGATATATTACCTGTATTTTATTTGTTCAATCATAATTTAGCGACCAATTTCAGCATGATTGAATGTATTTTTGTTCTGATAGCTAGCAGCAATTTTTTTCATCAATAGGTCACTTTTTTGAATGGTTCTTTAATTCCTTTTAAAAGAATATTTCTCTTTTTCACTTTTTATTAAATCCGCAATTTTTATTTTTATTTTATACGTTCTCATAGTGGCAATAAATATACGTTTTTACTTTCAATTAGACAGCGTTCTCTACAAGCAAACTCATATACATTCATATTTGTTTCTGTTTTTATACAACTATTTGTAACTAATTGGAATATGATTTTGAATGTTATAGTGTTTTCTAAGAGAGTCTTCACAGTTAAGCAATGGCGACTTGTTACTGCTGTAAAGATGTACCACAAAGACTCAAATAACAAGTTTTACTAACAAGACTTATTACTGTTCTCATCGATGAGATAGTAGATAACCCATTGTACCGTCGATGAGGTAGAAGGTCTGTGACAGTTTTCTTCCTCGAACTTATTTCTTAACGGAATTTCTATTTCTTTTTATCCTTCAGAAGGATGTTCGTTTTGCACAAAACTACTGGAATGAAATCTTTAAGCATCTTAGTGGTATATCAAATGGAAAATAGATCTTATTCAATATTGAACAAATGAGAAAACTAAAGATTTACCAACATTTTACAGTATAACAAGCTTGAGAACTTTTTTTATAATAGATAGAGTTTTAAGAGATTAATTACATTTTTCTTGATTGGAAAATTTTTGGAAAAAAGAAACAATCTGTATATCGTGTCTCTCGAACAAAGATCAGGTATAAGAATTTCGATGATATTAATACGAGGGCATTAGGTGAATGATTAGATCAATTAAATTTAAGTACATTTCACTCTTCCGTTTGATGATGAACAAGTGCTAGTTGTTTCATTATAGAAAAATAATCTTGAAAATCGTATGCTTGATTTCATCCTATCTCTCTACAAGTAATGGGAAGTCAAGTTGTTTTGCTGGTACATGAACACTTACTATCTATTGTGAAAAGAAAAAAAAAAGAAAGTAGGACTTTTAAAGATGCATACAAGCATAAAATGATAAGGAAATATATTTTTCTTTGATATATTACTGATAATGAGACAAATATATACATTACTGTTGATAAAAATAAGTTTTCTTTCTTACATAGATGGTACGCTGATATTACTAGGACTAATTATGTTGGAATAATAATATTGCAAAATTTTTCGTCAATAGTGTTACCTAGAAATGGATGAAGATTTTTCTGAGCCCAGAAATTAGCCGTTTTTGGCACGGTTATTTATTTGGGAACGGTAATTAGCCGAAATGGGCACGAATCGCTAAATTCCGTGCCCAAAAAACCTTTCGGCTCATTTGGGCACAGTTTTCCTTTCCGAAGCTCGGGAATGCTTATAAGCTATGTGTCTTCACAACGTCAGACTAGAAACTGTATTACTAATTTCTTTTGAATTTATTCAAAAAGAAGACAACATTTAGTGAGCCAGCGCTATTTTCACTTTCTTTGTCGTTTCCCTAAACCTTGTAATCATGAGGGATCACTGTGTAAGAGCCAAAATGCATCATGAGTCCCAATGTATGTTTACAGACGTATTGTTTCAAGGTTTGTTTGCATGAACACATCATGGGCATTGAGACAAGTCTAGTAGCGTACATCCAGGTGGAAAAGCATCAAAACTTTGCCACGGCAAAGTTTGCAGTTATTGTAGCCAGAGATGAGGAGGGAACCACATGTGTATGTCCATATCCGTACAACAATCGATTTTTGTTCAAATTTTGGATCCGTTTATGAGCGTCTTTCTCGTGAGAAACGCTGACAGTAGGAAAGGTTAGAAAACTGCGTTTAGCTGATTATTGTCTTCTTTTTGAATAAATTCAAAAGAAATTAGTAATACAGTTTTTGGTCTGACGTTGTGAAGACACACAGCTTATAAGCATTCCCGAGCTTCGGAAAGGAAAACCGTGCCCAAATAAGCCGAAAGGTTTTTGGGCACGGAAATTAGCGATTCGTACCCATTTCGGCTAATTACTGTTCCCAAATAAATAACTGTGCCCAAAACAGTCAAAAGATTTTTTTGAGCATGGAAATTGACAAACGGTACCCAAAACGGCTAATTTCCGTGTCCAAACAAAATTGTCCCCTAGAAATCACCTGATTTATAGTTTAATAGAAAAATTTGCAATATTTTAGATCACTAGTCGATCGACAATCAGCTAATGCAGTTTTATCAGGGATGAATCAGGGCCGGAATGAGCTGCGGAAAAACTGATAATTACTTTTCACAAAAGTATTTTGCCTCTCGTTTGCTTCTTACTGATTATGAATTGAATATCCTTGTCGGTGCTTCCAAAGTCGACTCAAGTAACTACATGATGCTGAGGGCTGCGAAAGTGTGTCTGACAGTAACAGTAATATATTCCTATTCAAGGTAATGTTGTCCTTAAACATTTATAATAGTCAAATCTATCTAGTTTTTGTACTATTCTACATTTTTCTTAGAGTTTCGAAATGTTTTTTATTTTTAATCATTTCTGTCTTCTAATAAATGATTCAAATCCGAAAAATCTGACCGGGACTAGCTCTTCAGTTTTGGAAATTCTCTTTTTCATAAAATCCAGTCCTGCTTCCGTCGCCAGATTCAAAGCTGAATGAGCTACTCAGAATTTTTATCTCTGAATTTGAACATAGTCGACTAGTGTTAGAGTTCCTAATAAAAATTGTTGTATTAATGACAAGATTTGAGTCTTTAAGGGTGGTCCGTCATCATTCACAAACATTGGATCAGATATTTCAAACAACTCAATCTATGATAAATTTCTTTGGACGAGCTCGGTTGAAGACAGTTATCATCCAGGAAGACCATTGCTATCACCAATGACAAACTTCTTCAGGTTGCTGATCATCTCGATTCAGAGTTGGAATGGGGTAGCCGGTCGTAACCGTGTCTCTTTCGTTTATCGGAAGCGTACGTACAAAAATATATTTCTCTACCCGTCTGCTTTCGATAGAAGAAAGAGACGCGGTGCCGATCGGTTAACTGGCTTCAACTCTGTCTCGATTCTCAATCAGCAAACAGTCTTTGTAACACTTCGAATGAACTAAATATTTCTATGATGCAGACGTGGTGCATAATATGTCATGTCTCTTGATTACAAACCCTACAAGATACATTCAACTGAACAACTTTACGATGGATAAAGACTTAAGGGTAGAGTTCGCCAAAAATCTGATAACGACGTACCAATGTTAGAGTCAAATTTTACCATTAATACAACAATTTTTACTCTGAACTCTAAAAAGTATGATATTTTATGTTTCTGTTATATCTAAAATTTGGCACATTTTTCTATAAAAAAAAACATTAACTCATTTGGCTAACGAGAGAACCTTCCTAGGCGCCCAACACCGTTTTCAATGATCTTATACTAGTTGATAGAGAAAAGTGTCGTGGTTTAAACCCTAAAAGGATTTGTGCCCATGGTACTTCTTTCAAGAGTTATGAAATTTTTTGTTTCACTTGGTACAAAATTACTAAAATTTTTGTATCTCGATAAAAACAGCGAATTTTGAACTGACATTATTTTTATGTGATTGTTCTAATACTCAGTTAATATCATAGAAGGAACCAGCGTTTCAGCCTCTGTAGAAAATAATCTATTGAATTTTCCTTGTGTTTAACGAAAACCATGTTTTTCCAATAATCCATTTTTCTTTTGTTATAGTTAATCATATGTGGTCCTGTTAATGTTTCCTAATGAACAGGCTGTCTTCTCTCTCCTCGTTCTAATATATGTAATTTGTTTGTTTCGGTGATGTAATTGATTCTCTATGTGAGTAACAGTTATTCCATCACTGTAGTGGTTTGTTACTATTGTTGACCGATCTTTTTTGTATCTGTTTTTCCAGCGAAACGAAAAAAATTCATAATTTTTGAACGAAATACCATGCGCACAAATCCTTTTAGGGTTTTAACTAAGACACTTTCCTCTATTAACTAGCATAAGATCATTGAAAACATTGAGAGTTTGACACCTTTGAAGGTTCCCTCGTAAGAAATGACGAAGTTATAGCCATTTTTGTTTCCACGTTTGCAGTAGGGTTAGAACCGGAGCAGTATACCGGCGAGCGGTATGCTGATACTATCCGGCAACGGTCCGATATCGATGAGCCAGTATTTCATCGGTATGATATTTTACGCACTTTCCACACAATTTTTACGAAAATAAATATAAGAATGTATTCTCACGTTCGAGAATCAAGGTACGCATGTTCTAAACCGGTTCGTTTTACTGTTGTCTATCTGTTATGTAGATGTGTGTTACGGATATATTTCGACGTACACAGCAGTCAGAAAAAGTAACAAAAAAAAGCAAAGAAAGCAGATGATTTGAAATTATCGTCAGAATTGGAACCGGTATGAAAACTTGTATCGGTACCAATCGACCGGTATACATTTTTTCGAAACCAGAAAAAATTCGGTAAGAAAGCGGAATAAAATAACTAAAATCGTAGGAGAAAAGTCGAAAAATTTTCAAACACCGTAAGATTTAGCCACTTCCTGCGTGAAGTACATTGTCATTGATTTTATACGCCGCATAGAGACTGTCCTACAACCACAATGTGGAAAATTTATACTCTTTGTTTTTTCTGCTTTTTTCTTGAAGATTTTATTTTCAAAGAGATTTTTCAAATCTTCTGCGTTTTTGCTTTTTTTTGTTACTTTTTCTGACTACGGTGTAACGCTGAAATACAAACGTAACACACAGCTACATAGCAGATCGACAACAATAAAACGAATCAGTTTAGAACATGCATACCTTGATTCTCAAATGTGAGCATACATTATTATATTTATTTTCGTAAAAATTGTGCGAAAAGTGCTTTCTTGACATCAGATTTAGACTTTTAATTCCCACACTATTGAAAAATGTCAATTACAAGTGATATCAACAAAACGACACAGAGGATGGTATTAATTAACAGTCAAA